TTAACAAAGAGGTAACAAGAAAACTATAAATTAACACAGCAGTATCGTCTGTTAACTAGTTTAAACTTGAAGAACTAGTTCAATTAGTAATATAGTTTAGATGAAATTATCAAAAGATTAACTAGAAAACTACAAATTAACACAATAGCGGCATTTTTAGCTTAAATAATGTGTAAAGATCAAAAATTATTAAATAACTGTCTCTTAACTAAAGAACTAGTTTAATTAGCAATAAAGTTTAGATTAAATTAACAATGAAATCACTAGAAAACTAGTAATTAAAACACAGCTCAGTAGCATTTTTTGCTTAAATAATGTTTAAAGTTCAAGAATTATTACATAACAATCTGTTAACTAGCTTAAATTTATTGAGCTAGTTTAGCTAGTAATATAGTTTACATGAAATTAACAAAAACTTAGTTAAAAAGCTACCAATTAATATAGTATAGTAGCATTTTGTGTCTAAATAATGTTTAAGGTTCAAAAATTATTACGTAACTATCTGTTAACTACCTTGAACTTAAAAAACTAGTTCAACTAGTAAAATTTAGATTAGATTAACAAGGAATTAACTAGCAAACTACAAAACCAGTAGCATTTTTTGCTTAAAAAATAATGTTTAAGGTTTAAGAATTATTACATAACTATCTGTTAAGTATCTCAAACTTATAGAACTAGTTGAACTAGTTATATAGTTTAGATGAAATTACCAAACAATTAACTTGAAACATAACAGTAGCATTGTTTAGCTAAATAATGTTCAAGGTTGAAAAATTATTACAGAACTATCTGTTAACTAGTTTAAACTTAAAATACTAGTTCAGCTAGTAATAATTATGTACTAGTTTATATACAGTTATATAAAACTACAAAAAATTAAGCACAGTAGCATTTTTTGGTTTAATAATGTTTAAGGTTCAAGAATGGTTACATAACTATCTTTAACTACCTCGAACTTAAAAAACTAGTTCAATTAGTAATACTGATTAGATGAAATCAACACAGAATTAACTAGAAAACTGCAAAAACAGTAGCATTTCTTTGTCTAAATAATGTTTATGGTTTAAAAATTATTACATAATTACTGTTGATTAGCTTCAACTTAAAGAACTAGTTAAACTGGTGACATTTTATATTAACAAAGAATTAACTAGGAACTACAGTATTATTTTTTGCATACATAATGTTCAAGTTTCATTTAATTTGTTCATAACTATCTGTTAACTAGCTTAAACTTAAAAAACTAGTTCAACTAGTAATATATTGTTTAAATGGAATTATCAAAGCCTACAAATTAACGCAATAATGGCATTTTTTGCTTAAATAATGTTTAAAGCTCAAGAATTATTATACAACTGTCTTTTAACTAGCTCTAACTTAAAGAACAAGTTTAACTAGTAATACAGTTTAGTTAAAACTACAAAAAATTAATTAATTAAGCACAGTAACATAATGTTTTCTTTATTGAACATATCTTTCTTTCTGATCAATTTTTGTTAACTAGTTTAAACTTAAAAAACTAGTTCAGCTAGTAATAATTATGTACTAGTTTTGAGTTGCTGAAGAAGGCTTGTTTTTGTCTAGAGAAAATAATTAGTGATAAATGAAATAAACTGAAACTTGGGATCCTGAAAACTGAAGCCCAAAAATGTTTCCTGCGGCGTTGTAATTGGTCGCCGCCTATGTGCAGGCATCCTGCCGTGAATAGAAAAGGACGGCGAGTCCAATCAACATACACACGTGCCGATGCCTGCTTGTCCTGCGGCTGAAAGCCGAGAACAAAGATTTTCAGATTACAGAATCCGCTGTCTCACCGCGTCTGATACAAGGCTACCAGCAGGAGAGGCGAAGAGAGGGAGACAACAGCCACAATGAATATCGCAGGAATGTAGAGCTTTCAGGAATTCAGGAGAAGAGTTACTTGAAACGGTTTTTGGTAGGTGGTGTGTGTGGGAGGGGAAAAAAAAACTTGCATAACGAATGATTTCGAAAAAAATCAGATAACTCAGCAAACATTTTAATGGGACGAGGTTTTGCAAGCGATCGATGAAAAATTTCAGATAGATGACTCAATCAAGAAGCCGCGAGGAGCAATTACACTTTTGATAATTAAATCAGTTGGAGTTCCTCGAGCAATGACAATTATCCGGATTTTTTGACATTGTGTAGTAGCTCATTATCATTTATTTTCTTATGCAAATATGATGGGAGATGGGAGCACAAGAGGGGCTCAGAGCTGGTTAAAGTGACTGCATTTTTTCATCCATTTTTGATGTCTGTCAGGTTTTAAATAATTTTAAAGTTCTTCGAGCAATGTGAGATATAAATATGCGCAACGACACGTTTACTCATTTCTGAGAACGTGCTGCACTTGGATTGACCTTAAAATGTGCTAAACGAGGTTTTAGGATCATTTAGCACAATTTTGATGTTTTTTAACTCTCAATTTTAACCGAAAAAATTACAAGATTTAAAAAAAAACAAAAGAAATAACAATAAAGTACTTCTCTCATCGTTCTTCTCTGTTTTTCTTCTTTGCTTTACTTCCTTCTATTTTGATGATTTTTTTATTTTTATAATTTTTTTAAACATGTTCTTTTTAATTATTAAAAGTACAATCTTTGCTCTCGAACATTTTTTTCTCTATCTTTCTTTTCACTTCTCTCTTTTTTTTTTCTCTACGAGATTTTTAAAGAAAAATTGTTTCACATTTTTTTGACATGAAATTTTGAGCTTCCAGTATCTCAATTTTTTTGTTGAATCAAAAGTAAAATAAATAAAATTAATCAAAAAATGTGAATAATTAAAAAAATTCCAGTTTGCTGTCATTTTTTTTTAAATGTTTTTTTTATATCCAAAATATTTCACACTGAATTATTTAAAGTTTAAGGTTCGATTCCGAGTCTCAAACTTTTTTTTCTCTCTTCTTTCTTCTCTCTATTCTCTTTTCTGTTCTTCAAAAATTGTTTTTTTCTTTAGTTTTACTTTAAAAATAAAATTTACTTTACAAACGATATCATCGCAATATTTTTATACTATCAATTTTTCCCCTCTCCCTTATTATTTGTCTTCTTTTCTTTACTTCCTTTTATTTCGATGATTTTTTTATTTTTATAATTTTTTCAATTATTAAAAGTACAATTTTTGGTGTCGAACATTTTTTTCTCTATTTTTTTTCTTTTCACTTCTCTATTTTTTTTTCTCTACGAGATTTTTAAAGAAAAATTGTTTCACATTTTTTTGACATGAAATTTTGAGCAAAACAGAGCTTTCAAAATGTAACAATTTTTGTTTCAAAATTCTCAACATCTTTCCAGATTTTTTCTGTGTTTATGTTTCAAAATCTTTATTTTTTGAGATCTTTATTTTAGCGATTTTAAGGCTTAAGACTTGAAATTTTACGTTTGTCTTTCAAGACTAAATCATTTTTTGTCTTTTTTTTAATTTTTAAAAAAACTTTAAGCTAAACTTCAAGACATTTTTTAACTTTGTTGTACTTGAATCTTTTCTCAAGATTTTTACTATTAAACTGAACTTTTCAGTATATTATTTTACGAAATTTTACAAAATTCTTGAGTCAAACTTGACCTGATCTTATATTAATAAAATTTCAATTTTATCATTCAATTTTTTAGGTAACAGCTCAATAAAGCGCCTTTTTACACCAAACACATAAAATATTTGCACATCTGCGCCCACTAAAATTTCCCTGAAACTGCGTTTCTTCCAGGGCAGATACCACATCACCAACTACCCCCTCAACGTAAATAAAATGTTCCTCAAAAGCGTCATCCCTTACGGCACCCTCAAATTCCTCGTCACGATGACCAACTCTCGAACCGGCAAACAGCTCAGTTGCTTCGAAGCCGAAGTCCAAGTCTCCTAAACCCCAAATAAAAACTTCACAAGCAACCTGCGTTTTATTTCCCAATAAATTTGAAAAAATCACCACTGAGGAGTGCCTCCACTTGCGCAGGAGGTTAAGTTTTTCCTTTTCTCTTAATATTACAAGATTTTAACGCCATTTTTCAAAGTATTGAACTCCAAATTGTTAGATTTCTCAAAAAAAAAATTTGCCACAAAATGGAACAATTTTTTTTTAATTTTAAGATTTTTATTTTAGCGATTTTAAGGCTTAAGACTTAAAATTTTACGTTTCAAACTTTGTTTTTTATAAGATATTCCTGTTTTTTACAAGACTAAAACTTTTATTTATTTTATTTTATTTTTTAAGAGANATGAACAAAAACACGATTAGCCCGTCACACCAAACTTTTATTTTAATAGCACAACGCGTTTCGACCACAAAGTGGTCATCCTCAGGTGAGAATAAAACTAGTTTTTTCTAATCGTGTTTTTGTTCATCTTAAATACCACAATTTTTTGGACACAATTTGCAAAAGCTCTCTTTTTTTCTTTCTCTCTTTATGTGTTCCGTTTATTTTTAGTATTCGTTCATTCATGTTCTTTATTTATTTCGGGTATATTTATCAAAATTATCAACTTTATTCCCTATTCTCTATTTTTTTGATTTTCTTTTTTTGTCTTTTTTCTTTTATTTTTAGTGCTTAGAACATGTTTCTTCTTTATTTTTTGAACTATTTATCAAAAGTTTGAAGTTCTTACAGCAGAGTTTTTAAAAAAATGTTCACCTCTCCCAAACTTTTCTTAAAAATTTGTTATTTTCATACTTCCAGTAATAGAACCCTTTTCAAGAACTTGATGTTGATAAAACCAATTTTGCATTGACGCAATAGTTGAATAAATTGTGATAATTTGTGTAAAATTTTAAAATTGCGTTTTATTTTATTGGAACCGAAACTGGAATTAACTGAAATACAAAATGAAATTTTGTGATTTCACCGAGTGAATCACTGAAATTCCTGCGACTTTTGCAATAATATAGTCCAAATTTTCTCTGGTCTTTTAATATTTCTCAAAATTTCGTGTTTTCAGCAAGTGAGTCACTGAATATTTAGTCCGAAATCCGGTCCTGCATCATGTTGGAAGATGAGAAGAGTGCGCGTCTTACCTGCAAAAATGCCATTCGCATGCCTACCGGATGGTTCGTACGTGGAGTTAGCTCTTCGGTGGTGTTGTTTTTTTATTCGGTATTCGTGTGGCAGTCGTTCGCTTTCTCTGTGTGATACCGCGGGAATCGGCGACAGCAGCCTTTCTCAGTATATCTTCCACAAGCTCGTCTTGCACGTGGGGAAGTCACACGAGACCGATATACTGCATTTTTTAAGCTCAAGTAACGAGTTTTTTGCACAAGTTTCGAAGCAGTTTTAGAAAAATCTGCTTTTTTGGAATTTTGGTTTTTCCTGCATCGTCAAAATTGAGATTAACAGATTTGATCTTGAATTTTTCCCACATCTTGAACATTTCATAATGCCAGAAAACAAATCGCTTCAAGATTTAGCTTTTCAAATTTCTAGAAAAAAAAAAACAATTTTTAAAGAAGAGAAGAAAGAAGAGAGCAGTAAAAAGAGAAATCAGAGAAAAAAATGTTCGAGACCAGGAATCGAACCCTAAACTTTTAATAATTCAATGATGAAATATTTTGAATATTAAAGAAAAACATTTTACAAAAAATGATATAAGCAAACCGAAATTTTTTTGATCATTCACATTATTTGATTTTATTTATTTTATTTTTGTTTCCTTAAAATGGAGAGAAAAAATGTTTGAGAGTCGGGTTTAAAACTCAAACTTTTGAAAATCAGTCCAAGAAATTTTGTAAATTAATAAAAAAACATCTTTAAAAAATCCTAAACACCAAAAATTAAAGGAAATAGATAAGAAAGAAAAAAGAAGCAAAGAAGAAAACCAGAGAATAGAGAATACTTTTTGATAATTATGCCCGAAGTTTTTTAAAAATCAATGAGGACACATGTTTGAAAGAATTCTAAAAATAAAATGGAATAGATAAAGAGAAAAAAATGTAGAGGGAAAGAATAGAGAAAAGAAGATATATCGCGTGTTTCAAAAATGTGTGGCATAATTTTAACCACGAATACCCCTGTACAAATGAGAATAGAGAGCACAGTATTTACTGACCTAACTCAAAAAATAGAAAAATTACAGCTTTCCAAAAATCGGTATGGAAAATGATTTTTTGGAAATATTTTTGTTATC